TAACATCGAGTTAAACCTGTGATGAAGATTTTATACATAGAAACGAATGTTATCCATTTCTTTCAAATCGAAACAAAATTTGATTCTTGTGGTATCAAAATTTAGGATTCAAAGTAAATGAAAACGTACGAAACAAAACAAAAATTGTTTTGTTCTAGTAGGGAGATTAGTGATTAGAAAGATTTGCTTATCAACATAGCTGTGAAAGAAATCGTAGTGCAGACGGTTCGTAAGATTCGATCCAACCAAGCTAAAATAGCAATAATCCTTCTAAAACATAATATAAATAGTTCCATCCTTCAATTCATCCTGAATTTGTTTATGATAATATAATAAATACCAGTAGATCTGTCTTGAAAAAGCAATTATAGCGTATATATAGCATGTCTAGAGATTGTTTTAAATAAATTTGTCCACGTAGAAACGTCGAAAATGAAAGAAAATTACATTGATCAAACTTGGCCAAACTTTGAAAAATCAATTTGCAGTGCAGTAGCAATAGTTGAGAATTAAAATATCTGCTTTCGTTTGAAGAATCTCTTGCTTTTTATGTGTAAACTGAAAATTGAGAAAGAACGAGAAAAGATCTTCATTGCTTTTAGATTTTAAATTAAATCGATTCAGAGTGGTTTCGAGATATCCTGTTTATGAATTTCAATAGTACGGTGTTAATAAACACGCGTAGTGTTTATAGTAGTAGTCAGAGCACTGTGCAATAGTTCTTCAGTAATGCGCTTGTAAAGCAAATAACTATGATATGTTTTTTAGATTAACTCGTAATGTTCAGCAAATATTTTACTTTAAAACTTGGAGACTCAGAAGTTTTTATTAGAACCTAATCCGATAACTCGTTATGGGACAGTTTCCTTAAAATTCTTGAATTTTTATACAAGTTATGCCAAATTAATATATGTAAAACCATGTATAAATACGCATCGAAATACCCGAATTTTAATAACAAACTTCATCTGAGTTATTAAGGAGCATTATGCAAAATAAAAATTGTCTAAATTGATTGTAAGAAATATGAGTTAATTAAGGATGCCTTTTCCCCTTTAATCATTCTAATAAGTTGAAAATGTAGAGAGTTTATTGATTATAGCCACCATTAAGTACGAAAACAGTGAATAAATACTACTGAGACAAGTAGGTGAGAGGAGTTTCAGGAATCGATGGGGATTATTTTGTCAATATTGATTGAAGAGAAAATTCGTATACTAAGAGGGGATTAGTATAATACCGGTTTACTTGCCTCCGCAGAAAAACGTTCCCAATCCAAGACATCCAATTTGTTATCGATTTAAATGTTGCTACCATTCAATGAAAAACTTCAGTCTTAAAATAAACTTTTATAATTTACTATAATATCGAATATATTATTTTTTATATTAATTCTTATCATCGGAGTGTTTTAAAGGCAGCCACTGCACAGACGCCTGGGAATCGGTAATTCATGGCAAAAAGTCTAATTTTATATTAACAAAAATTTTGTTTTTCTTTGAAGCGAAAACCTATTCAAGCTTCAAAATCCATAACATTAGTTCTTTCGGATAACTTCGGTATAACGTTATAAAGAGAAAATTGTCAAATCGAAATTGAAATTAATTATTTTTATTATTCCCTACAGAGTACCAAATGCGAAGTACTTAATAGATTTTTACACATGTCAACAACTACATTCCAGTTATTTATGCATTGCATAAGAACCTTTTAACTCGGGAAGAGAAAATGTTATGTTTTTACCAATTTGAACGTTGAAAAAACATAAAGTGTCGATTGAAAATGATAAATATTGGACTCCATTTATATGAAAGTTTGCACTATTGTTAACATGTACACATAACTTTTAAGCTAAGTTTTCTGCAGTTTTGAATTCTATGTATATTTTGATAAGAAGATGAACCATAAGTATGATGTTCAAATGGTACGTACCTTTTCTCGTTTTTTTTCGTGCCAATTTTTTAGAACATGAAAATATGATGTTACATATCTATTTAATAAAAATCTATCATAATACCTTGCTTTACGTTAAAAACAAAGACGTTATAAATCACATTTTAGGTTATGTACACACTGAAGTCGCCATTTCGAAATTGAATTTTTATTTTTCAATTTGGTATCAGGCGACCTGGAAAACACAAATTACCGCTTCGGAAACCACTGTACACTGTTTCTTCGAGCAGCTAAAATACCTATTATGTGTACAAATAAATAATCCAATTTTTCTTAGGTGGTTAGACAAACAATAATATAAAAACAATAATGACAAAATATAAAGTGCATATCCGACACTATATTCTTTACGTATATTAGCAAGGAAAAAAAATGCTAACAAGGCATGTATTTCGATTCGACACTTTCACGGTGAAAGCGTTGTTTCTTATGATGTGCGTATATGCATTTTGGGTTAAATGCAGTGATTTCGGTCTAATTAACAAACGAGGCTCCGGAGGCCCGCGGAAATGGGGCAACGATGAATTGGAGAGACTACTAGCTGAGGATTCATCAGATACGTTAAAATTGCTTGCAAAGCAGTTGAGCGTAATGCGACGAACTATTTCGAATCGCGTACTAATCCGATTAAGTCAAGAATTGGAACGAAAACGATCGCATACAGGTAAAGAAAACCGCCGTCGTGTGAAATTGCTGCATGACAACATAATACCACACGTTGCTTCTGGTACAAAAGAGGTCCTATTGAGTCTTGATTGGACGTTATATGCACCCGGCATATTCATCGGAGATTGCTCCTTTCGACTTTTATCTGTTTTGGTCGATGCAGCATGCTTTGTCTAATGTGCACTTCGAATCAGTGGTGAATCAGTGATGAAATACAGAAATGACTGGATGATTTCTTTATGTCCGAAGAGATAGATTTTTTTCGAAATGGAATTCGCCATTAGCATAAAAGATAGCTTAAAGTTAAAGAAACTAATGATGATTAATGTGAATAAAACGTTTGTTCTACTTATTTTTTAAAATAGATCTTAAATATCGGCAAAATTTTTGATCATTTATTTGTATACGTAATATATAAATTTTAATAAATTGATCAGGAAATTAATTTATTAAACGAAACAATTTCTTCCAATTCATAAATTTTGACGTAATTTGGATCACTTAATGTACTACCATAGTTAAAGAAGAAATGATCGGACGTTACTACTGCAAAATGCAGAAACGGATAAGAAAGAATATTATAAGAAATCGTTTTAAGTTCAATTACGACGCCTTAAAATATTTCAACGTACGTCTAGGGCACCCTGCAAATTATATCATAGATAGCGTGTACATATTTCTAATATAAACAGGTTGCTACAGTAAAACCTGAATATTGGGACGATGAAATTATGGCCCCTGGTTTCTCATTCTGCTTGGTCCAGAAACGTGTCGCGCGATGAGTGGCTTAGAATCAAATGCGTGAAGAAGATTTCATTACAGAACTAGTTGACAAGCTCTCGATTTTCGATGCTCGAGACAATTTTGGCAAGCACTTGAATCTGTCGCACATATTTCACAATCTATTGTTCCCACGTAATAATGAGTCCCGACAAATGATAATGATATAGCGAATTCCGAACTTTCTCTTCATTCCTGCAAACCAAAACGAAGAAATTAGAGCTTGACATTTTGCAGAAGCTCAACTGCTCGGTATATACTTGTTACAAGGGATTATGATTTCTCGAATCGTTTTAGCAGCGATGAAAGAACATTGAACTATGAAACTATTGCAGTTGATACGTAATCATACAAAGTGTTTTAGAAGGGTTCGGTCAAGGATTCCTTAGGTGATTTGAAGTAACTTTTTCCTTAGCGGAAATGTTCTCCGTGGCTTCGTCAATGAGTTATTAACGAAAAACACGAACCAATCACAGACCGAGTACAAGTACGCACTGGTTGCGCGGGAACGCGCCATTTGTACTCACTTTCTGATTGGCTCGTGTTTTTCGACAATAACTCGTTAACGGAAGCATCAAGAACATTTTCGTTAAGGGAAAAGCTACTTCAAATCACCCCAGGAATCACCCCTTTCAATAGTTTACAACATTTTAAAGACGCGTTATATAATTGCGATCATTTGCAATTCATAACGATATCGATCCAATTCGATTAACATTACAATGAATTGTTTCGAATAGATTGTTCAAGCGTTTACGAAAAAATATTCCCAAACTTAAGAATTTATCAAAATTTCTCGAATTGTAACTATTGGTATTCGGAAACGAAGATTTCGGAATTTGCGTGTACACTTAAAACTTACGTTCGCGAAGCATTCTTTCGTTAAGTCGTTGCTTAAACTGTATCAAACGGAAGGACAAACGATTCGCATAAGAATTTATTCGAAGTCGCCACCATGTCGTGTGACACGATGCGTAATATTGACTTTGGTCGATCCTTGTGTTTGAGCACTGATAGTAACAGTTTTCTTAAACTATACAACTGCAAATATGAGGTGTCCTACTTCGCAGGGGACACGTGGAATTAATACTCGAACGGCGGAGCTTTTTTACAAAAATGTAACCGACATTGTCTTGACATAAATGTTTTTAGGAATTTTTACCTCAATAGATGTTTTAAGGTATTCCTTCGGAAACTGAATAGTCAAACAACAATATTTAACACTAAACCTACCGAGCTATTTAGATTTTGTACAGTTTTTATTACAGTACTTGCTCCAATAATGTTTAGTCAATCTATACGTGTATAATTGTAAAATTGAGAAACCGGTCGTTTGACCGTGGTAGGTTTAGTGTGAAAGACCGGGTCAAAATTGATCCAAGCTCCACTGTCCGAGTGTCAACATATAATTCCAAATTTCTCTTAGACGAACGTTAACTGCAATTTTTTGCTTAGTTAATTGCAGTGTCATAATCGAAGTGTTGATGGCGTCAGTTTTCGAGACCGACGTCACAAATCATTTTGTTAGAATTAAAGGAAAACCAAGAGTCACGGCGTTTACTAACGGACGTATCGATTTGACTATAACGTTTGAGTGTGAATAAAATCGCAAAGTAATTTAATAATAATAATAGTAATAATAATAATAATAATAATTAGTCATGAAGATTTCTATAAGACGACTTCATGTTCGAACGATCTACACGCACACCTGTACTCCACTTCATTATCCAGAGAATGAAGCGTATCCTTCGTCTTCTACTTTCTTATACACTTTCAATAAACTAAAAAATATATTCTTTCATAATATTCCCCTCGTATCTTTATGTACATTGTCTGTCGTTCATTGTCAGCGTTGTTTACGGCCGGCGCCTCTTTCGAAATTTTGTCTCCTATCCGCAGAAACGTATACATAGAGAAATTTTTGCTCGTATTCACCGTGGACGCGCAACACGATCTCACTATACTCACACCGTTCGCGTGCTCTATCAAATTGTCTGCGTTTCTGATAAACCCGGTTCGCGTTTCGCGCTCTATTTAGTTTTAGTCATTTCTGCATGGCACTGTTAGTAACGATGCACGGTCTCAGCACCTGCATAATAAACAGACTGCGGATTTTTATGCGGAACTCAATGCTCATTGCTGCCAAGAATCACAAAACAGTTCAATTCGCTGTGTCAAATTTTTAGCAGGTTGTCGGAAATTATTTTCTCGTTGAAATAAGAACTTTGTTTTTATTCTTCTCGAGATCTTCGTCTGTTCTATTTACATGAAAATCTGCAGTCCATCGGGTCACGTAACACACGTCACTCGAATGATTCAGAGGAAACTAATTTCAAAAGCTAACGCAACATGAAACACGTCTTAAAATGATAAAACGTTTCACATATTTCAGTATTTCGTATAGTTTAAAGAGTAGAGAGTGTGTACATTTTTTGTACGCTCTATAATTGAATGTGTTTCTTTGAAATGATCATAATAAAAGCTCCAAGTTTTTTTATGTGTAGGTGACAAATCTAAAAATGAACTGTTTTTTCTTTTGTTAGTTTACAGCCGCATCAGCATTATAGGCTATTAGCGACATTCCAGAATGTCCAATTATCAACCGCATTGAAAACAAATACAAAATTGCAAATCAACTAAAAAATGCACTCGAAGGTAGAAAACATCAAATTGCAATAATTTCGTTTATTAATGGTACACATCACAGCAATTCGATGGCAATATTATAGTCAGATTGCGGATGTTCATGCAAAATAAAAATTGTCTTCGTTAATTACAAGATGCAAAAACTACACAGACATTTATTTCTTTCTCATAATAATACGATAATATTTTCAAATCGTTTAAATATTTTTATTATTTTGCATTTGATCTACCCGTTTCTGGCATAAATGCGTTAAATTCGGAGTGTAGATTTAATTGGAAAAATAGCAAAAATGGAACTAAACGCATTTTGTTGTTACAATCTGAAGATTGTAGAGAATAATCAGCCATTTAACTGTGACTGACATCGATATGCCATTGGAAACGTAATTTTTATAAATCATTCTGGTAAATATACCAATAAGTCATTTTGGTATATACTGTGATGCAAAGATTGTAACAATAATGATAGCAGAAATATTGACAATTTTATTAGTTCTTTTTACGTTACGTTATTTCGTTTTAGGTTGTGTTGTTTTATATTTGTATCCAACATTTTTACTGTACACTAAATATTCTCTCAATATCTTAATAAATCTCATATGAGATTTAAAGATTAAAAAAAATACTGTTGCACATATACTTACTCATAGTCTTCTTTTCAAATCACTATTATTTTTTTCGTTTGAATGATCATTAGAATGAACACATGCTTGAAGTTAAAGGATTGAATTGGACTCGTAACATGATATGCTATTTTCCGAAGAATTACGAAATGTACGGAAAAGAGAAAATGCTTATAATATAACGTGACTCTATTTTTAGAAAATTCAGAAGAAAAATAAACGACTAACAAGCATGCGGTTCGTATTGCGTGCAGAAATATATTTCAATTATTATTATTTATTGCGGCAATTTACGCTACAACATCAGTTCAACAATTTTTATTTGAAAAAATGTGAATTATTGTGAATTTTTGGTGTGATTTGTTGAGAAGCGTCCATGTAGTACAGAATTAAGAAACAGTGATACATCAACTATTTTTTCAAACTAACTTTAATTTCTTATCAATACGCTGTCATTAGATTCCTGATTTTATATATCTTTTACAAAAATAAACAGGTTAAAAACAAAACTATAGAGATATTAGATTTTGACAATATTTTCATATCGTGTATAACTTATTAAAATTATTGAAACAAGAAAGATAGTTTCATCTGACTTATTTTTCTTACAATCAACTTGCACCACAATTTTTATTTTGAATGCAGAACCGCAATCCAAAGCTTCGTCTATCAATTAAATACTTGCCTCATACTCCTTTATTGTATAGCGTACACATTTGAGATCCAGTATGCTCGTTGGGAGAATATGCTCAATGTGCAGGGTGTGCAAAATGTATTCTCTTCTTTCTATTATACGAAATATTGAAAAGTGTCAAACGTCCTATGATTCGTCCTGCACAAGGTGATCGATACGCGCGATTTCGTAGAATATCCGATTAGTATGACATCTAGAATCGGTTAGGTGTTATCGTAGGTTCACTTGAAAGACGTCTGTGAATGTACAACAGCCTAGCGAGTTGCACCGCAGTCGAATAATTTCACGTCGGTTGTCAGAGAAGACAAAAAGCGTAAGAAGGAGGGGCGGATCAACTACGGTTACTCTACCACAAAATTTCTGTGATTCTAAAAATTTACTTTAATAAGTTCCGGCGAGAGGTGCTCATGTTTCCATCGTTGCTCACCGATACATTACTTTTTAAAATTATATTTCTGTAAGTATGGTACTACTTCGGTAGCGTTACTGTAGAGGATACCGCACACACGATAGAAACTCTCATCGATGGTACGAAAATTTCTTAGAGCACCTAACCGACTATGTTAAAAGTAAATCTTTAAGATCGTAGGAATAGGGATAAAGTCGGTCCACCTCTTCTTTTTTACACTGTGCCAGTGAACAATGAAATACGGAAGATTGAACGACAAAAAAGAGAGGACACAGAACATCGTACGGCGACATATAATACGATCCTTATGTATTCACACGAAACATCCATTACGTTGTAGAACGGTATAACTTGGAATAAACATCGATTAAACGTACGGATCAACCTTTTGAGTTGCACAGGGCCACGGGACGTTCGGAGAGCTTTCGTTAGACTGGAGCGTTTGTATACTAATTATCAGTGCAATTGACAATACACGATGAAATTCGATCGTAGCACGTCGTTCATTATAATTTTTCATCGGTACACATTCGGTCCAATGCGCGCGCGCGTGTATGTGTGTGTGTGTGTGTGTGTCGTTTAGTAGAGATATGGCTTCTCCTTTTCGTCGTCTTGCTCTCAACAATTTTTATTTGTCCGCTGAGTATTCAAAATGGTGATTAGAAAGACGGTTATCGTTTCGCAAGAAAAATGGAATCTCTTTTGTAGTAGTGAATTCACCGTAAATATGTCGATTACGTAAAAACATATTCTCCTGTGACAATAACAAAGCACGTATGCACTCTCTGCAAAGGTTATAAATGTTTGCTGTAATAAAGAGAGAACATTGATTATTCTTCGATATTATTATCGTCCCCGTAAACTTTAGATACCCGTGTCCATGGTAGCCATAAAGTTAAACCAGATTTCAGATCGAAGGGGTGGGGTTGAGTCACGTGGCGCTTGCTGCACAGTACGAGTCAACGAAGGCCGTCGCGTCACGTGACCTACTCCCACTCGTTCGATTTGAAATCTGGCAAAATTCTCCGGCTACCATGCCTGCGTCTTCCAGCATTTGACTTGCTCATAAAAAAGACTTTATGACGAAGTAAACATCAACACGTAAAGTAAGGGGACATTCTGTACAAGATGAATCATTATGATCTTGTTCGTACGTTTACGTACACCAATTTGAAATTGCAATTACGGTTATCGCTCTATCTGGATGAGAATCGTATTAAAAAGAGGAAGCCATAATCGACTGAAGCAACATTATGGATCATTCTTGAGCTTCTTCTATGTACAATGCAACACTGGTCTGTAAAAATATTTGAATGCCTCCGAATAAAATCTTGAATGCAAGGAAAAGAAATAGTTACATTATCGACTTCGAAATCATTTTCATCAATAGCAGCAGATTCCGGATTTGTATCGGTTTACCACTAAACCTACTACTGCTGATCAAATGATCGCGTTTCGTAATCAATTTAATTCGCAATTATTGAAATTATGAAGATACTTTCAGTAGAAATGATTCAATAAATGCCTTTATTATTATTATTACTATTATTATTATTACCATTACTACTACTATTATTATCATTATTATTATTTTATTATTATTATTCTTAATCTTATTCTTATTCTTATTATTATTAGTGCTTGGTAGGTTTAGTGTTAAAGAATTTGCTGCTCTGACATTCTCAAAGCATTCGTACGATTAAAGAGTATTTTTTAATAATCAAGTTTCCATATGTTATTAACTTCTCCCTATTGATGCTATATGTTCTATTTAAAACGAACAATAAAGCTTCGTTTCGGTAAAGTAAGGTACGCGAGATATTTTTAATATATAAAGTATGCAGGGTGGTTTCAAAAACTCCTGTTAAATCAGTTTTTCGCAGGATTTTTCGGAGTTTGGAATATCTATTACGAAATTACAAGATTACTGGGAGAAGTTGTATCATTGAAGTAAATTGTTTTTAAATGTTCATTAGAATGTTCTTTAATTGTAAATAGAATATATAATAGATTTTTTAACGAAACTCTCTAAATTTTTCATTAATTTATCGTTCGATTAGTATGCGGAGAAACTTGTAAATAATTCATTCAACAGCCGATAGACTTTTACTGAGAAATGTTCCACTGTATCCAGCTCTCAATGACGTATTATAGATCAACTGTGTAAGCCTGATTTTATGAAATTTTTTTTGTAAACATCGATAATTTTAGTTTGATTTTAGCTGTGGTTTACAAGTAAACTGCGGATCTTTATGCAAAATAAAAATGTTCCGCATTTGTTACAAGAAACAGGAGTTCCTCAGAGCTTCTACCTTTCTTTAATAACTGTAATTAATTCAAAATGATGTATTGGAATCATTTAACTATTTTTCAGTAACCACTGTTCTTGACTGCACCTATTCCTTCTTTTCGTAAATACACAAAATCCGTAGTCTATTTATAAACTGTGGTAATTATTTAATCATCAAATTTTTTATATCACGTGTTTCATACACTACTGGATCATCGTAAAGTCATGTCAATGCTGTTAATTTGGAAAGGGAAACTTATGATTTTCTTCTGGTACATTGTACTGTAAATTTACTTTCACTAAGAAAATAATTTTTCCAACGTATACGTTAATAAAATTGTGTCGTTATCACTTCTGTTGCTTTACACCCACAATTTGTTTTTCTTTAATTATCCGAAACTAAATACGGATTAGAAATCGTATGCTTTTTTTAATTATCGAATATATGAGATTGATTTTAAATACCTAGTAAAATAATATAGTACGATACATTTAATTTGTTGGTATAAATGATCGGTAACGTTTACTATTTAGACTTTAATTAACTAATCTATTGCTTAGTTTTGACTATTCAACTATTTAGACTCTCGCTCGACTACTATAATAGACTTTGTCTAGAAAACCGCAACGGTTAAAATACTTTTCTGGCGTACGAAGATTTATTTTGTTCGCATATTACTTCGAAAATATCTGTAATACTTTGTACATTCTACACATAAGAAAGTCTTTCTGTAAGAAAAATACATTTCAATCTGTAATGTAACTGAATTCTTTCAAAGCACTGAATACTTAGATCGAAGGCTTCCGAATACTTTGAACTGAAACGCGATCATTGCGTCTTCCTAATTTCCGTCAACTATTCAATTTTCTTGATGTTCAAATAGGTCTGATTGATCATTACGGAAGAATGTTCCCCTTCGCCCCTCGGCATTCGACTGTGACAATTACAACAATAATAAGTAAAAATTTTACTGTTCGAGATTGTTTCGTACCGATTAATAGTAAGGAATTTCGCATCGAGACGATACACACGATATGAAGGATAATTAACGACAATCGATGCTGCATCGCAGCAAAAGAATTTACTGATCGTCGTCGAATAGTAAATCGGTTAGGGCCTCGCGACCAAGTCGGTTCATCCAGTTCGTCAGTGTACGATCGAGTTAAAACTGTCTTTAAAATTGACATGAAACGTCGCGTTTCTTACTGTCCGATCGGAACATAATCGATTTCAAGTGGACGATCGAATCGAAAATCCGTCCCCGAACTAGCGATCGTAATTACGAAAGTCTCGCAATCAGCTTGTCGGCGCGCGATCGGTAGGTTTGCTTTGAGTTTACCAAGAAACGGCGTATACTCGACGTTTCGGGTCGCGCGAAGTATAGTAGAGTGATCATGCGTGGTCACACGAGGAGCTCCTTGAGGAAGTCCTCGGCAAGCATGTCCTACAAATATTCGTCCACGCGGTCGTTCTCGTCCGGCGGGCTTGGCTCGCTTACGCTAAGTATGGGCAGACCAAAGTGTTGGACGTCCATGCTCGATTCGGGCGTGCTTCTCGTGTAGTCGCAGCTCTTCGAGTGATCAATTCGCCGATGAGAGTGGTGATGACAGAGCGGACGGGCGTCGAGGACGCAAGACGGTCGGTAATACCTGGGGATTTCAATGGATAGATTGGCTTTAGTCGATTAAATACCTTTCTTTCCTTTCGCGTTGCGGTTAGATTGGCAGGTAAAATGATGGCGAAGTATCAGTACACGATTAAATTTATATGTTCAGGATCTATAAAAGTGATGTGCCACAACCACCATAGCGTGATTCTACGCCTCTTGATCGATGAAGATCTGGTGAAAAAAAATGGACCGTAAAATTGTCTTTGGTCTTGAAAAGAAAGGTGGCAAATTGTTTTTTATTGTGTCGTACAGGAGAAGCAAAAGTCTGAAAGGAACCGTGGGTCTCAGATCAACCCTTTGCATAATAAACAGCTGTAAGAAAATGTACATAACATGGAACAACGTGTTCTTGCTTAGATACCCTCGAATTCGAAGAAACATTTCTTTTACAGCTGATTGTTACATAACAGTGTTTGTGCGATTGAATAAAATAATGTTCAAAAGAAAATAAAGAATAATGTTCAAAATATAGATAGAATTTTTACATCCACTATCGTATGATCTATTTTTTATTGTTTCCAAAAGGGTTTCTGATTGTGACGGTGTTCCACAATAGATATTTTCACTTTAGTATTTGGCCATCGCTGTATATGTTTCTGATATTAAAAAATTAATCGTTATTGCAAGATCACTACACTGTTGTGAATTTTACGAATGCCAAATTGTCAGTTTAAAAATAACCTATGCGTTATGGAACATCCTGTATATTGTGCCATGAATCAGCGGTCGAAACTGGCACGTACAAGACCCCAGTCTACCTTGCATATCCTATGAACTGCGGACGATATCCTCGAATACCATCGTACATTGACGAATGAATATTTAGCAGTTGTCTAAAAATTCTTTGGAAGGCACGAATTCAAAGAAACTGGGATCTGTTAGGTGATAAATAGTCAGTGGATCTTTATGCAAAATAAAATTCGTCTGCCACGACTGAAATAAATCACAGTCGAATAGAAATGTACTACTCTCTATTAATAAATCTAGCAAGTTGCAAATAATATAATAGCGTTTTCAAAATCCTACAAGTCTTTTCATTGTTCCATATTTCACGTGCTCATATTTTTCACGAATGAAAATATCTTAGGCCGCTAAAATTCTGACTGCATCGTGTACAGTCAATTGGTTTGTTTTGTCAAATATTTATAATTTGTTTTGCGATGCTCTCATATAGAAAATATATTTTACCTTTTACTTCATTTTCCAATAACCAGAACAGATTTAATTATTGCTGAGTAATAACTTACCTAATTGGCACACGATTCCGATGAGCATTTACTATAATATAGAACGAACTTATTCTTTTTTCGCGCAGAATAAAAATATGCAAATAAAAATATAAGTTTTCACTTAAAGAAACAGAGTTACCCTCCAAATAATCTTCAAAGCGATCAAGAAAAAAATATAAAATAGTTTCCCCCTTGAAATCGAGTAACACTTTTGTATTTAACATTGGAAATTGTATTGTATTGCATTGCATTGTATTTAACGGAAAATGTGTTGTTTCCGAGATATTTGTATGTATTTCTGCAAACAATGTTTTTTATAAAAGGAGAAGACAATTAAATTATTCTACCGGTGTAAATCATGGGAAACGATTTAATCAATAGTAATGTATATGTAAAATTAAATGAATAATACTACGCGATAGTATAGCTTCCTGTTTACTGAAACACCTCTTCTAGTTTCTTCTCACAATACCATTTTTGTTTCATTCTAATCCCGCGTAATAGGAAATTGGATGACATTCGTGTATTTCGCCGATCGAGATTGGGAATATTCAGCAAACCATGTATGTATTTCAAATGTTCTGCTTCGTCTGGTTCCATTACTGCAGAAAATATTTTGCATATTTGAGAATTGCGGTAAAAATAGTGTCTTACCGTTCGTCCATGGAAGCAGGTTGTCTTACGGGAACGTATTCGTGACTTCCGCTGGCTCTCCATCCTGCGAAGCGTCGACCAACAAATGATGATGACGACGCGATTGGAGAATCCCTGAAACAGTAACAAAACAAATACCATATAATATATGTATATCTAATATTAGATTACGTAATAAATTCGCCCACGTTTTATTGCAAGAAAATTAGGTATTAGTTTTTTATTAGTTTTATACAAAAAATGTTTTTAACCGTTAATGTATCATGTAATATATATATTTTGTTGTTCAACTTTCTGCCATATTTCCCTAACGTACAGATGTTAGAGTTAGACTAGATAAAATTAGATAGATTAGATAACGTTTAAATTTGCAAAGAATTGCAATTAGAATGAAAAAAGGGGAAAAGCGATGTTTTTAAAGTTAAACAATGCGTTTTGTAGGTCTCTGTAACTTATATGAACGCTGAAAATTCCATCCAAATATGTTAACGATATTGTGTAGCGTTTTTAAAATATTCAAGCCATTTGATTTAATTTTTTAAAAATTATTTCTTAGTGTTCAATTTCATTTTCATTTCAATACGTGATTTTCTCTTGTTTTCTAAAATGTTCAAATATCAGCATGTTTATCGTTTTTTGCACTGTTTCAAATGAATGAAAATTAGCAAGAGTCTAAAAAGTGCAGTTGGTGAGGTGAAGCATCCTGTTATTAAAAACAGGAATGCCTATTTAAACGTTTAAACTGCTTCGTTAATTTTTTAAGACATATGAACTTCTAAAGATACTTTATTTAAACGAGTTGCTCCTTTTTCCATCGAATTAAATAGGCTTTGGTTTAAATCAAGTAAGAAAAAGACATTATTTTTTTTAACGTCCTACGAAGACCAATATCTTTTAAATTTAGTGTACAGTATGTTATATTCTAGCGATTTCGCGTGTAGATAGGAAAACATACGTATCAGCGAAAATCAATAAGTTTCATTCACTTCTATCGCAATGAATCTTCTAATCAATAAAAGTTATATTTTCTGTATTTTCGTTCTCATAAAATTTGTAATTTGCGTAAAAATTCGTACTCTATTGATAAGCTGAGAATGAAAGTAATTTTTCTTTTTTTGTGAGTTTTGATTTTTCTTTTCATTTTTGTAAGTGATACAAAAAATTTGTTCTCCTTTAAAAATGTTGGAAATTGTTTCAATCATATGAAAATTCAATCTGGCATACAAAATGTTTGTTGGACGTATTATATCCTTTCCCTTCATGCATCACGCAAACAACACGTAATACTCTGTATTATACTAGCATGACGTTAAGCCGAGATAAAAATTGCATAAGAAAGATTAAAACAATGCAACGGGTTTATGTAATATTCATGTCTATATATACAAGTCATATAACTTGCACACCCTATATAACTTTTAAATTATACGTCTAATTAAAAAGTGTTCAATACAAACGTTATAGGGTCAACGTCGTATTAATTTTTTTATACAAAAAAGTGTCACCTTCTTTTAACTAGAAAAGTATAAACCTATGTTGATCCTTAACTTAATGGTTAACGAGATTTAACCAGCGAACAACTTCTCTGACAATGCTACGTGGTTTGCATCCTCCAATCGACTTATCCTAAAATCTCGTTAATCGTTAGATTTAGGAACAATTAGGTTTATACTTTTCTACTTAAAAAATATACTTTCGATATACTATAATGAGAGAGACATGTATACCTACCCACTTAAAAAAAGGAAGATGATTTCGAGAACTACACTATACAAAAAAGAAGTGTATGCGTTGATACCCCTCCCCCCTTAAAACTCTAGTACTTTCATATTTAACAATTTTTAATTAGATGTGTAATTTTAAAGTTATTTAAGATGTGTAAATTATATGACCCACTTTATATATATATATATATTTGTAACAATAAAGCATTTATATTTAATAATCTTTTCCTCGTGTTCACTTAAATTGGGAATATTTTCCTTTATTAACACTAAACGCGGCTAATGTATATTGTTTCAGAAAAATGATAAAATTTAATTTACTTAAATTTCGTACGATTTCTAATTATAATATAGACTTGAATACAGAAGTTTACCTAAAGATTTATCATAGAAATATTTTTATAATATCAGGAATTGTGAAAGACAAGAAGCATTTTACTGATTTGGTAATTTTAGCGTCAAACTCAATTTTGTTCACAAAAGTACCAGTTGCATCATTTTAATTAGCATATAACAATCTCTTACACTCGAACGGCAACTTTAAAGTTATCTGAAACAATTTTCTTCCTCAAAGCAAATTATTGAGTGTGCAACAAATTATAAGAAATTTAAACGTGGAGTAATAAAATTATCTTTTCTTGTTTATAAAATGATTCGTGTCGTATAAAATCCCAGGGATCGATGCTCACGGCTCGAAGCGCACAGGATTAATGATCGATGGAACGTGTATTAACTTATTTAAAGAATCAACATATTTAACAATTTATTTCATAATGAGTTAGTTGATTCTGATGCGAGGTAAAGTTAATTTTTTTCGATTGTTCCTAAGATGAGAATAATAGAGTAATTGAACCGATCCGTTATTGAATAAGTTCGTGATAAAATACAGTTCTTAAACTATTTACAAGCTCTAGTGTTTCGGATATCAAGAGACTCGTGTAGTGTGTCATATTATTGCGAATTTTCTGCAATGTCCGCAGCCATTCAAGTTTAAAAAGAAGCGGGTATTTGCATTCAAGGCAGGACTTAGAAACTGCAGTAAAACTTCTGAACCGCACTATAATAAATCCGAATAGTAAAATTGTGAGAAATGAAATACACGTGATAAGTTTTGCATAGGAGACACAGTTTTATTGAGTTCACTGGAATAATAAAATATTCATGCAAATCACTGCCGGTTAATATATCGCGAATATGCGTTGATTATGCAAACCGAGTATATTGGCAATTACAAAGATAAATGAGTTGCAGTGTATGCATGAGGATTGTAAATAATTTTATTACTTTACCGATATCTGTGCACAGTTGTAAATGACAAATGTTGTACGATCAATGCAGGCATCATGATACAATTAATTTATTAGTGTATGCATTGTATTTCCCACTGATATTTTCAATAGTAGTGTGATTATACTTTTAGATGATTAGCTTACGATTTATCTCTATTGAAAGATTCTTTTTATTTATGTTTTTGAACATTTTATGCTTGGTGGCTGGGAACGTGTGTTATTAAAAACCACAGGCATCTTCTTTATGCACTGATTTAAACAAGATGGAGGAAGCACGAGGAGGTACCTCCAGAACATGTTTAAATAATATTTAATGTATAAATAAATAAATATAAATATATAATTATTATATATTATATGTAATGTAATCATATCATTACATGCATATGTATACACATATAATTATCTCTCTCTGAGAGAGAGAGATAGAGAGAGAGAGAGAGAGATAATTATATATATTTATTACATTATTATATTACATATTATAATTATTATATATTACATGTAATATATATGTAATAAATATATAATATATAATATGTAATAAATAATTATTATATATAATCATATTATACATATTTATATAGAAATTATAGATAAATGAAAAAAAATCATAAATAATACCAAAGATGACACAAATATCTGCTGGCAGTAGTAGACCAAAATACCTCTCCCATTTTGGCGACCTTCAGAGGACCTCAATGTCTCTATTTTGTCATAAACGATGTTTACTTAAGAGAAGCTCAGTCAGATTTGAAACTTAACCAAGATCTCATCTAAATCTAATCGAGATATTATTATCTAAATATCTAATCTATCTAATCATGGGTTTTATGATACGAGATAAAGTGTGAATAAATCAAAGATCTATCAGAAAGGTCTGGATTACTCTGATTTAATCTGGGTTCGATTTAGGTGGAAATTAGATTAGATCTGGATTAGATGATGTATGGCTATCTCGCTAGTAATTAATTAAAATGTAATGCCAACTATATATTTTCAAGCATATCTTAGAACATCTCGGAAAGTAAAGTTGAGTGGCAGTAACCTAGAGAGGAGTTGTTTAGTATGTTGATCCTGATAATGTATTTCAAGGTCATCGAAATTGAGAATATAATTAGCTTCCCTTTGTAAATAATTTTCTACTGTATGAATAATTAGCTTTTCTTCTGGTAAACACCAGAGACACACAAAATCAGTTTGTACACAACAATAGGCAATATCTTTGTCTTCGTTAACAGGAATCTTTATGCAAATTCTTATTTTCGTGCGTCAATTTACAAACATTTGAATTAAACATTTCATTTGGAAATTAAAAGATTATTCATCGTAAGAAGAAAACGAAAGTACTACTAGACTTTGTTAATTTAAACATTTTTTTGCATTATCGTTTATTTTAGTTATCGCATCTAGCACATAGACGTGAATCTAATTTTGACGTTCCGAACAGCTAATTCATTTTTTCTACGGATTCAGAGACCAGAATGATCACAAAAAGTACATTAGTGTCGTCACCGTATTTCTTCCAAGGATCCTTATTCCTTCTCTGATGACGGATAATTTTGTTTCGTTTCTTCTTGCTGTAGATACTTTAGCACCAGTTTTCTTTTGATCCTTCTTACTCAAATCGGGTTCCGGATGTTTTGCGTACAGAACGACATCATTTTTCATTTGAATTTTCCGGTCGTTAAGACATTATCGTCGAATACAAATGTATTAGGCGTGTGCACAAGTTTTAGTCTTTCCTTAATCGTTCATATAAAATGACTTTTAATAGTTACAATTATGCTGTGGATTTCTATGTGAAATAAAAGTTGTCACCATTAATTTCGCAATATAAAATCTACATAGACATTCATTTTATTCCTCAATAACATTAACGAGTTAATAGTAATACAATAATTAATAATACAATTGTTTAAATGATCGTGCTATTTTGCATTTGATCTACTCATTTCTGCCATAAATGTACAAACATCATGTCTAAATAAAGAGAAAATGCAGATAAAGATTAGAACTTTAATATACAACTATATTTTAACTAAATTTTTTTGCGATGTTGGCCCGATTACAAATTTTAATACTTTGTACACCGACTGTA